CAAGATGGGTCAACAAACCCAAATTCCACATGTTATTGCACTTGCCTGAGTCCGTGGAGCGCTTTGGGCCTGCAGGATTGTTTGCCACTGAACAATTTGAAAGCTTCAACAAGATATTGTGGTTGGCGTCAATTCACTCAAACAGACACAATCCAGGGAGGGATATCTCAATCAGCTTTGCCGACTTTGAATGTTTGCAATCCATTTTCTCTGGAGGGCGCTTGATCAATCACAGATCTGGACAGACCTTCTTTGCCAGTCCTAATGTGACCAACATCTTCAGGGACAACAGCCTCATTCGGAGGTCCATGGGGTATAATGATAACATGGTAGCTGATTCCCATGTCTATCCAATGGAGATGATCACTCCAGTTCCCCAAGAGGAGAAAGAATCCCCCCCACATTACCTACAGGAACATTTGGCTGGATATCACTTTACTCAGGTCCATCAGCTGCACATCAATTCAAAGGATGTTTGCAAGAAGGGATACTTTGTGGTTGTAAGTCTAAAATTCCCAGAGGACCCAATTCCCTCTGCTTCCTGATCACTAACTCTTGGTGACTATCTGAAAGATTTTCCCCAGGAACAAATCCCCAAAATTCATTGGGCGTGTGGAATCTATATGGAAGGGACAATTCCCAAACCGCAAGACTTTATACGTCAAAATCACACGATTTCAAGTTAAATCCATCGACCAGTTCTACAACATGACCGCACTTGTAAATGAGAAGACAATTGAGTTTTATTTGGCCTCAGTAGGTTCCTCATCTCCTCTCCCTTAGATTATCCACCAACCTCATTGCCCACTGAAACCCAAATTTTCACCTTTGTTTCCAATTCTCCAGGAGGTTGCTGGATGTCTCAATGTGCAACATGATTGCCATCTTGGGAAATGTATGCCAGACAAAAACCATAAAAGGAAATTTGGCCCAGAGGAAGCAGCCCCATCTAAGGAAGCTGTTAAACATCAAGATGACAATTCTTACATAATCAATTCTGCTTCATTGCACTCCATTCCTCTGCGTCAACAATTCTCCAATATGACCCGCCCCCCAATAACCCCAAAGGCCTGGACAAAGTGTGTTCAGGATGGGCTCAAGAATTGGGTTGAGCCTTCTAAAGGCAAGGCCAAGACCCCAAAGGCCTCACAAGTAGCATCCACTTCACAAATGATGTTAGATTAGTGACATCATCAGATTTTGAGCTTTGACTGCATCTTTTTCTCCAATCTTTCCTGCTCTATTTCAGATCTTATGGCCATTAACCTGCTCTGGAGTTTGTAACAGTAGCTGACCCATGTTTTGACAGATTAAATAGACACTCTCCATTCCCATCACAATTTGTACTACTATCACCACACCCATGCTGTGAACACTGACACACTTGTTTCCTCGATTGACTTGTTATCTGATTGATGTATTCCTTAGTTTCTCTTGACTTCAGTCTCCTCCCATTGACACTCAATCCAGAAATATTGACATGGAATATGCCTCTGCACCTCAAATAAAAGCTCCCAGAATTTCATTGGTCAGTTTCTGAGAAAAATACAACTTGGCAAGCAGGATGATGTAAGAATCTGCAAATCAATTTTAGGTGAAAAAAGAGCGGAGAGATCAGTGTTATATATAAGATTATGGGCTCAACTAAATACAAAACCCCAAATCTTTGGCATTAGTTAATGGATGGTACTGTAGGACTAAGTCTTTGTTTAGTGCGGGGTGCTATTATAGAACAAAGTGAAATAAGAATCAACATATTCTTCTTCTTGCTTATTCTCACGCCGAAACTCTTCCTCATGTGCATCTCTCAATTTTTTATCTTCTTGAGAAATGTGTTGAAGAAGCTCATTCAATCTTATTCGTACTTGCGCATGACTGATGTTCAAATCGGCTCGCTCCCGTTCTCGACGAAGGACCGAAGAGGCCACGCGTGCTTGCAAATCCATCCGAGCCACATGGATTAATAAATATGCACATTCCGCCACATCTATTGGGGGCTTTTGTGGAGGTTCGCCAAGTAAAGGGGCCACGTTGACCAATCGCGGATGTTCAATATCCTGTTTCATCTTCAAGAACAACTGAAAGAATAGTGTGAGCTGCTGGATCCAATTTGGCGGGTGGGTGTATTCAACTGACCGTAGATGACATCCCTCTTCTTTGAATGCGCTGTTCCACCGCGTCGCCCAAGTCCGAGGTCTCCAAAGTGAGTCGCTCTGCCACTTGCTACCAAAAGTGGGAGTCCCGTCAGTGCAGAAACATTCACAAAGTCGCCAACAGGTTCCGCTTACCATCCATCGACCTATCAATTGTTTGTACTCAGACCTGAGTTCATGAATATGAATGGATCGAAGACGAGGGAACGCGGCGGCCGTCTCCAGGTATCCTTTGATGTATTGGTTCATGAGGTCTTGGGTTCCGGGTCTGCCCGCTTCCGCCATTACGTGAGCATGTTTGTCGCTCCATTGACGCACAAATCCAACCAGGTCGACATGCAAGTCTTCTTCCCACCTGAACTCGACCGTTTCGACTGAGGTAAGCCGGTGTCGAGTGTGAGCGGCCTCCAATGGACCGGGAGGCCCATGGTTTGATCGGGGAGAAGTGTCCGCACGGGCACGTTTGTGAGTCGCCACATCTTCTTTGTCTTCGGGTGAGCTGCTTGAGGCAAGTGGATGCAAGTTTTCCGATTGTTCGGCTGCGGAGCCCATCTTTCTGTACGGATTCGATTCGGATGTGACTGGTGGGTTCGCCACCAAAATTCGGACAAAGTTGAAGGACTGCCGTGTCCAACCGGTGAAGCCCCCCCCCAAAAAAAAGGCCATTGAGACTTATGTCAGTGATTTTCATAATTGGATTGATTGTGTTCAATTTCATACACAATCAATCCAATGTCAAAGCGGTCTTCAGATTGCTTAAAGCATTTTTTTTGAAATCCGCACAACTGCGAGTCACGTGTGGCATTTTTCTGCTTGGGTGGGCTTAGCTTGCTTTGATCTGAATTGTGACAGAAATTCGTTCTGGGCCAAGTTAGATGAGAATTGTGAACGGACGGACATCATCCACGAGGTCAGTAAAAAACTGGGCATGGTCATTGCAACATGCGAGATGCAATGTGGGGATAGTTTAACTCGCTTGTACAACTATGTATGGACACAGATCATAGTGAACCGCGGAGTTGTGTTAATATAATCAAGCCAAAAAATTGTATGAGGGCAGCACTACAAGTCTGGGGGTAGTTGAGGATTCAGAGCTGTCATCTACAGCAGCTTAAAACATTGAAACAGGAGGAACAGACTCTCAAAGGTAATATTCTGGAGCTATTTATGGTTAACGGTATCAAGTAACCCAACACATGTACAAGCTAAGTAGAGGCATACAGACGGGCCAACAAACTGGACAGTGACCTCAATTTGGGTGGGCCGGACCGGGATTAGCAGCGGCAGTGCGTCTGGAGAAGGGTTCCAATGCTTCCTCTGCCTCATCATACTCGCGAGCGCTGTCGACTTCCCTCTCAATCGCACGCATCTGAGCTCGTTCGATATGGGCCACATTGATCTTGAGTTCATGAGTGACCTGTTTGTGGCGCACCTCTTCTTCGACCAGGACCTGGGCATGGCGGAGTTGCTCGGCTTGCCAATTGGTGTCCCAAATCTTGCGCAAGCGGAGACGATCCATGTCGGCCACGACCTCACGGGCTTTGAATTCGGCGCAGACCCCTTGAACCAAGAAGAAAGCCAGCTTGGCCACCGCTTTGGTGGGGCGACCAGGTTGTCGGTTGTCAAGCAACGGCGCGATGTCAATGTGTTGAACCTGTTCAGTGGAATGTTTCAGCAAGAGGTACACCTGTAAACACCAACTGTCAGCTCTGTCCGGACAGGATGGGGTCTGGCGAAGTTCTGACCTTGGGAGGCATGCCTCTTCGGCGAATACGATTGGAAATCTCATCCCCAAGATCATCCATAGAAGCAAATAAGTTATTGGTAACCATCTGGAGACATCCAGTCAGTCAACCTTGCGAAACAAGAGGAGTAACATTACCAATGACGAATGAGAACTGACCATCCAATCCTCAACAAGGCGTTGATATTTTGGGCCCAGCGCTTTGAATTTGCAAGCCCAAAGGCTCGGATAGACTTCGAGTATTTCGTCAAAGGCTTGGTCGTATATGTACCTGACCTCCGCCATGGGCTTAGTGGCCAAAAGTTGGTGATGCTTCTTGTACCATCGGCCAAATAAACGGATCAAGTCAACACATCTTTGCTCAGACCAAGTAAAATTCACGGCATCCCGGCCGTTTGGCGGCAGTCGTCGAAGTGGAGTATCATCCGTAAGATCCTCATCGATAGCGCTGTCCCCGCCGCCTCCGGTCTCGGTCTCCTCAGGGCATCCGCAATGGCGGGGTCCTAAAATGATCGGCCAAGGCCGATGGGTCAGATA